TTGTCCAGAGATTCTCATGGAGGAGCAAAACTGGGCAGTTCAATACCATGACCTATTTGTCCAGAGATTCTCATGGAGGAGCAAAACTGGGCAGTTCAATACCATGACCTACATAACCTCAGAGCTCCTGGATGTGATGACAGTACCACTGTCATGCTGAACGCCTGGCCCAGCAGTTTGCTGCSATAATGGGGTCACTTGGCACTCATTGCTCGCTGTGACTGCTGCTCACAAAGCCCTGTGGCATTTAGAGACCATTAGAGACCACTGCAGGAAGGAAAGTAACTTAAAACAAGAATGTTTTCAGCAGACTTAGCTTCAACAAAGATCCTTCAATATTGGATTTTTTTATTATATAGTTCAAATGCARTGAAAACTTCCAATCAGTTCCCAAATGCTAGGCAGTATATGGGAACAATTGAATTAGATATGGTGTATTTTAATTTTTTGAAGAAGTGTAGTGCTAAAATATTTTAAATTCTTCACATTTAAAGTATATTTTACTTCTCATGGAGACACATCCTTTTGAATATTATACTACTATTTGTAGCATCAGGAGAAAATGTTAATGAAAAGCTTCTAGAGGCATGTATTTTATTGAACCTCTGTTTTATTTATATGGAACTTTTGTATGTGAACAGTTAGTTTACAGATTAGAATATATTTGAAAAAAACTAAAAAGTGCAGGAAACACTGTCATCCTTTTCTATACAGGTATCTAAAACATATAATTAGGGCTGTATTAAATTACTTTCAAGGTCTCTTTTAACATTTGAAAGACAGATACACACACTTACTACGATTCCCATATAACATTCTTCAGGTTTACAGCTCACCTGCTGGAACCTCSTTCTCTTCTCCACCATGGAAGAGACCTGATAACACTGATAATGTGCATCCCTAATCTCTGCTACGCACGCATAAAAGGCAGATCTCCTGCCAGGATTGTTACAGCGACACTCGCCCAGCAACCAAATATTTAAAGCTGCACTCTTCTGAAAGTGTTACATCAGAGAAAGGCTACAAAATGTGAAGTCCMGATGGCTTCTCTCCAGTTTTTTGGTTGGCATCACCCCCCTTCCATCCCCCTTTCACCTTCAGACAAGGAACATCTGTCCACCTGATGGAAAGGGTATGTGTTGCACAGCTGSCTCTTTTGTACCACTTCACTGCCTTCTCATTAGAAACATATTGATGACAAAAGGAAACACAAGAGCAATTAAGGAAGACAAATTCTGKTTTTTATGCTTATCCACAGACTTACCTTTCAGGTTGCCGACCTTCATTCCCAGACATGCAGATGACTTAAATCTGCATTTCATGTGTCCATCTTTAGAGTATATGAAATACCCCAGCTTTTGCTTCTTTGCAATTCTCCCAGTATTGATGGCAATGTTTTTAATGGACAGATTGATGTGTTAGCTGTGAAGCCTTTACCAAAAAGAGATGCCAAAGTAGTCCTCCAGGGACAGATTTACTAAGACAGTATGTTTGCATGTACACTTACTACCTGTGAGAAGCAGCCACGTCTTTCAGCTCTCAGACTGGCAACTGACAGGGTCTTTTTGCTAAGAAGGTATTAAACAAATTACCAGCAGAAAGTGGTGCAAATTGTGGGCTTAATCTTTTCAAWACCAGCTTAGTTTATCCAGTCAGTTAACACTTACGGTTTCTTTTCTCCCTTCATCTTCCAGCTTTCATTTGTTACATAAACATTACTGCACACAACAAAGCTACTTTCATCATGTMGGATTATTAGCTTGTGAAGACAAATCTGGGAAACAAAACAAGACAGTGTGACCTAAAGTAGGTTTAATGCTTCCTTTCCTTTGAAGGATGCTGCCCAAATGGCAAAATCCTTTTCACCCAGCATCTGTCAGTGGGTGTGTCTGTGTAAGAGGACAGCTTTGTGGGTTTGCCCATCCACCTCTAGGAGGATGCAGAACTGTAGGTGCTTCGGTGTCACTGTATCTGACAAAAAGTTACAAAACGAAGGATTTGTATACTGTGATAACCCACACCGTCCATGCTAGGCTGTCTGATGATGATTGCTGTTACAGTCAAATCTATATAAAACTTCCTTCAGTCATAAACAGATCTTGCTCCTTGCTTCTTCTCCTTATGTTTCAATCTGAGCAGCAGGACTGCTTTCATTTTTGGTGTTGACAACAGCTGTTCCATGACTGGGCACTTAACCTCAGTCTATGAAACCGACTGTATGTGGCCATGCTAATACACCAATTCCCAAGGAAGGATACTGCAAGAATTTATTATTATTATTATGTACTCTCAGATATTTGGATACAGAGTATTTATAAATAGACAAAATTGAGTCAGTGTTTGTGGGGCATGCAAGAATTCAGCATCCTCTTTCATAATCAGCTTTATGTTTATTCAGCCTGCTCCTTTTCATGCTACAAAAATATGTCTTCATCCAGTTTCCTGATTCATTCTTTTCACACATGTAGGCATAAAATAGTACACTCGAGCCATTTCAAGATACTAAACATTYTAACAGACAGGTGACATAGAAAATTCTTGTCACCAAACACAAAAAGGTCTGACTTGTGCTGTTACTCTAGGTCACCTGATCAGCACTTAAGTGAAGTCAGCTCTTGAACTGGAGAATGGATGTGCTCTTGTGCTGTATCTGTTCAATTTCTCTGACTGCTAAAGGTAATGCAAGGCCCTCAAAAATAATCTACTTAAAGAGGAACTTAAAACAAAATTGACTTTATCAGTTCCAAGAAATAACCCAGTGTCCTTACCAGAACTTGTATTCCACCTGCAGTCCAACAAGTGGAACCTTGTGGCAATGTTTAATTATAATTTTCTCCTCCATCAACTTGTTAAAAAACTTGCTGAAGAAACCTAGGGTAGTTGTGACATCTGAGCTAGCAATTATTTTATTTTCTTTATGGAAGGAAATGTAGCCAGACACTSATCAGTGAGAAAAGCAACTACATATTTGGTTTTGCTTTGGAACTTATCCTTGTAATCACAAATATAATAAATGTAATTTATAATACATTTATTACTTAATCTAATTTAGTTGCATCACAGGAAAAGTATCTTCACAACAGATTCATGTCTGTAACATGCATTTATATGCACACCTTTTTTTCTGAATTTTCTTAATACACCATTATTAATTTGCATTCAGGTTTTAGGCATGGGATATACAACCTAACATCTGTTACCAACTCTAAGTTAAATCTTAGACATAGCTCTCAGGAATAAAAATCATAGTCTAAATATAAGACTATGATTAAAATTAGACTCACCACTCAATCAAAATAAGAGTGCCTGTTCAGCTAGCCCCTGGTGTTCTGGGTTTGAATGATATTTCAGCTTAGTTTCTTTCAACCTGATTTAGTAACACCTACTTACCTGAAAAATAGTTTTCCATACTGAAATGCAGTGGKTTTTTTTAGCATTTAGACCAACTTAAATATTTAGTAAGATCATAAGGACTTGACGAACCATGTGGCTGATATGTTGGCTGTGCAAAACTGCTATGCATCATCACATCAGAACAGATTTTTGTACCAGCAGTGAAACTTGGAGCAGCTTTCTGTGGGCAACTCCTTCAGCTGAGTCAGGATGAAATCCTGTCAATAGCGTCCYACACTGTCTCACTTCACCACTCCAYAGTGCCTACATGTTTGTGGTAACCAAGAAGTATCATCTGTCTCTTGCTTAGACTGAATTTAAGTATGTAATTTACTTTCATACCTAAAGAAATAGTTTTGATGCTAAATTAGTTGTCAGATTGCTCGTGCTGCCTCACAGGCCTCTTGTGCTCTATTACCAAACGTTTTTTAAATCAATCAAGTAATAACATAGAACTTTTCACATTTCACCCATGCACGTAACTCCAGTGAGTCAYAGTCATCCAAAGCATTCAGAGGTAAAGGACAGAGCTCAACTGGACAAATGTGAAAGCAGAGCTGAGTTTTGCTGGTAGAATGGTTTAACAGGGAATAAACTCTYAGTGTGCCCCTGCCCCAGAGCACAGTTTGGACAAGGTGAGAACTCAGACACAAGCAAGCACTGCCATTCATGAAAAAAGCTTTTTCCCTTCCTTTGTAATTGTTTCCACTCCAGCAGCATTCCAGACTGTTTGAACACTTGTTCTTTTCACATTGCCAAGAAACAACAAAATTCTTAAKTTCTCCTCCCAGCCAATTTTTTTTAAATGATTTTGTTTTAAGGGCTGAACAGCTGACAAGAACACATAATGGAAAAATCCCAAAATCCCACATACTGTTATTTTTCCAGGAGGCCAGATAGGGTGGGTGTCAAGTAATTTATTTTTCTTTCATTTCCACTTTCTTTTCAAATCTATTAAAGAACATCAGGRACAATTTTTTCTACACCCTCTCACAAAACTTGAGAAGCATACTGCAAACTCCCTCTAATCATAAAGAACAAGGTGAAGTGAAAAATAAAAAAAAAAAAAACTCCCTTATCAGCTGTAGTATGAAGATATAACTAGGAACTGCTAAATAGAAAATTACCTTCTTTCA